AGTTACTTAACTCCATCATTTTCGACCAATGTGTCACTGGCCACCTCAAACAACTCACATCTTTGTCAGTGAAGCTGAGTGCTCCACATCTCTTCCTTCATGGTGCCCATCTACATTAAGATCCACAATTCTGAGAAAAAGTCAGAATTCTGAGATTAAAGTCAGAATTCTGACTTTTTTTCCCATGTTAAACTGAAATAAAATGTAAAAATCAGTTAACTTTTTTTTTTTTTTTAGTGGCCCTAATCCTCTTCCGTAGGTTTGAGATTATTCAGGCTATTTAAAGAGAATTTCTTATCTTGTGGTCTTTGGAGCCACAACATTGTTCTGCAACCATATTTTGCCACATTTGCTGCAAGATTCTGCATTAAGTGACCCGTTTCACAAAGCAGGTTTAACAAACTCAGACTCAAATCATCAATTCAGAATTGATCTCTCCTAATGTTGGAAATCCTAAGTTTTCAGTTTCACCAACTCTAAGTAGGTCCAATCAGAGTTCAGCACTTGCATGACACATAGGCAGGGGGTGACATTAAAGATTTTTACCACTTGCCCTTTGGGCAAGCGAATTTCACATTTCATTTGCCCAGAAACAATTTTTACTTGCCCAGTATAATGTTTGATAAATACAGTTCCTAATATTCATTTTTGTATATATATCAATGAAACATGTTTGTTTTTAAAATGTTTTTGTAAACTTTGCTTTAAACTGTTGTGTGCTTGGAAAAATATAAATTGTAATGTTAAAAATCTAAAAAAAACTTGACAGGTTAAAAACTTAAGATAAATCACAAGACAGAAGTCAATGTCACAAATAAATAACTTTTATTTTAGAGTCACGGTATGTGACTGGTATCTGGCGGAAAATCACATGGCTTTTCCAAATCACGCGAGAATGTGTACAAAACAACAAAAATGGCGCCGGCAACACTTCTGGGTCGTTTTTATCAAATGTCGGTGATTTTAAAGTAATTTTGAGTGATAAATAATTTTGTTTTTGCAATCATTGCACTTACCCGGTGGGCAAATGCAATGAAATTTGTACTCTCCTGACAATAAAAACGACTTGCCCCGGGCGATCGGGCGATGGTTAACATTGAGCCCTGCACATATGAGAAGCCATTATCGGTAGAGCAGATTCACTTCTAGACATCCGGAATATTTGAATGATATAAAGAATGTAAATTGTTTGAAAAAGTAATTTTGACGAGAAAAAATGTACTTCAGATATCAGACATATATATTCAAACTAATAAATATCGAAACGGCCTGCCTTAGACTTTTGTAACCACAATAAGATTAGAGGGGAAACTAGATTATTGCTTTAATGGTAGATTGATGCATCTATTTAGTAGCGTTGCACCTATGCCCTTTTTTTGACCACATTTGTTGTTATTCGCTGATACTGATTCCACCATTTTAGTGCGGTATACTAGTATTTAGGCAACATGACCTGTCAGCAGGGGCGGATTTAGGAAATTTGGGGCCCTAGGCAAAGGGAAGGGGGCCCTCTGAATTGAGAAGGAAACATAAACACATATTCTGTTCCTCTAAGAACATGAACTGAGAACATTCCTGATGTTTTTGTTCTCATCCATTCAGGTCTGAAGTCCCTGGGAATGACCATCGCTCAGTGCTACGAGGAAGTCGGTGTGCTGCTCCTCTTCCTCAGCGTCGGGATCTCCATCTTTGCCACGGTGGTCTTCGCTCTGGAGCACGACCTTCCGGCCACCACCTTCACCAGCGTTCCCGCTGCCTGGTGGTGGGCCACCACCTCCATGACCACGGTGGGCTATGGGGACATCCGGCCTGACACGGCGCTGGGCAAAGTTCTGGCCTTCGTCTGCATCCTGTCCGGAATCCTGATCCTGGCGCTGCCCATCGCCATCATCAACGACCGCTTCTCCGCCTGCTACTTCACCCTGAAGGTGAAGGAGGCGGCGCTGCGGCACGGAGAGATGCTGAAGAGGCTGGCCCGGGGCTCGGTGGGGGAGGCGGGGCCAACGGGAGTGGTGGGAGGAGTCAACCTGAGGGACGCCTACGCCCGCAGCGTGCTGGAGATGCTGAGGCTGCAGGGCCGAGAGAGGGCCAGCACCCGCAGCAGCGGAGGGGACGAGCTGTGGTTCTAGAGCCATGACTGGCCCCGAGCGCAGAGGAGGGGCCACAGAGAGTCAGGGGACTTAGAGAGACAGGGTAAGGAGAGAGTCAGGGGCCACACAGTGACGGAAAAACATGGAGACAGGGGCCACAGAGAGTCAGGGGACTTAGAGAGACAGAGTAAGGAGAGAGTCAGGGGCCACACAGTGACGGAAAAACATGGAGACAGGGGCCACAGAGAGTCAGGGGACTTAGAGAGACAG